GTAACATGTGTTAAGAATATTCTAAAAGTGTATTCTCTCTAGCACACCTGCCGCGTCAATTCGCGCAGGTGCAAACAGCGCTTATAAAATTTATTGAATGATGAGAAATCCTCGATTTTTAATTTAATAAGAAATGCCTCGCTGGACTCAGATATATTTTAATCTCATAATAAAATATCGGGTCTTCAAAAAAAAAAAACAATCGAAGATTGCTATGGTTTTTTAAACGTATGTCTTAGCAATATTTTTCCTTAATTTTGTCAATGAACTTTAATGTCAAAATGTCTTGTCAAAAATCCTGACCAATAAAGAAACAATAATGCGACGTACGTTTTCGTAACCAAAGCAATCTTTAATTGTTTTTTTTTTTGAAGACCCGATACCATTCGCGGATATTGGAACATAGGCTACGTTCCAGTTTCCAATCGCTGTCAACTGTCACGCTGCGCTCGCGCTTTTTTCTTCTCAGTTGCCAACCTAACCTAGGCTCTTCATTTCACATCAAACATTTTCATTTTAATCATTGTAATTTTCTCAATTTAAGATTTCCGTTCTTTCTAGTTTCTTTTTTGATTCTGGGTTATCTCGATTCTCAGTACGTGCGTGCTCGCGGCTTCGTCTGTTTTATCTTGTTCACAAAAGTCAAAAGATCTTTTGTGGCAGTTGTGGCCTTTGTTTTTGTGTATGTTTTCAGTGATTTCTTTATTTTTTCCATTTTCTTTCACAGAAAAAACTGGAAGATAAGGTAAGTATAGGTAGTTGTTAATATTTTATTTCGATATTGTTTACCCCATATGTGAGAATGTAAATTAGGTTTATAATTATACTAATTAAAAATAATTCAGGAAAATCTGAGGGTTGACACTTATGGCTGCCTATTCCAGCAGTGAGAGAACCTCTTCCGCTAATAATGTTGATCGGCAGCCACAAATTCCAGTCTAAATTGTGGTTTTCCCAAACATTGACACTCCTTCTCCCAGGTTTGTTTCCCATTCAAGCTCTTGGGCTGTGCTGTGGAAGAAAGAATTTCACATTCAAGTCTGCTGAAGCTGTTGCAAATTTTATTCATTCCATACATTATTTACACACTTCATATTTTTTGTAATATTGAAAGCTTATTTAAATATATGTTCATATGAGTTTGTTAACATTTTATTTTTTTAGCCTAATTTCCAATTATAATTATTTGTTCTTGAGCGTGAAAAGACAGTTTTTTCGCTAGGACAAAAGGTGTCCCAGCAAAAGAAGAAAGGTAGGTCAGCTTAATGTGATGTCTGTCCCAAAATTAAATAGAACAGCAGGCAACAGGTGGAAATGCTTTTTGCTGACACACTGTGGTATTTACGATCGTTGTAACTAATTGCACATTTGGATAGGATTCCTAGCTAACTGTACGCTTGGTCAGATCAATTGCAAATACTACAGGGTCCCCGCAAAAAGCGTTTACACTAACTTTTTACCTGTTCTATTTAATTTTGAAACAGACACTATTGTCGCATATTTCTGAAATTCATGTCATATACTATTTATACACTATAGATGTGCCAAGGCATATGTCATGAATATAAATATCCCATGATATGTACATTCCTGAAGAATATAGTAGGTACCTACATTTGGAGCATATTCTGTGGATGTGTGTTCAGTACATGCTGAGCTTGTGACTAGGACATGAGGATATTATAAGCACATACCTAACATCTGTTACGGTGGGCCTGTAACATATACTCAGGATGTACTGTGGATGTGCGCAATGCTTTTTTGGAACATATCTAGCATATACTTTCCCTTGTCTGGAATATTCTGTACATGTGCTAAGCATGTACAATTGCTATGTGGGTTATTGCTGTCTTCTTCTCTCTTCTTGAAATCAATAGAGAGGAGACGTCAATAGAGACAGAGAAAAGGTCTCTATTCGTTACAGAGTCCCAGCCCAGGCTACCTAGTAACATGATCCTAAAATATTTCGTCGTTCCGAATGTGGCAACATGCGCATGAATGCTCTAGTCAATGAGAGGCACGTGAAAACGGACTATTGTGCGCAACTTTTTTTTTTTTTTTTTGGTCAACACTTTTTGTTAACAGAGCCCCCCCCAAACCAAAATCCTGGATACGCCAATGGCCTTACCTGATCTTACACAATTAAAGTATACTTTTGAATGATCACTATTCAATTTTCTTTTCGTTCCAGTTGGCTTTTCATATTGCACATTGTTATTCTGTTCTTCGTCTTGTAACCAACTGTAGAATTCTAAAATCAGATGTAATTGGTTATAATATTGCTTTTGACTAACAAAGCATAATGAACTTGAAAGGAAGTACCTGTCCTGTACTTTTTTATGCAGTTCTTACTAAAATTACTTACCATTATAGGAATCAAATTCCAATTCTTCAAACTCTATTTTAATATCGTGTTTTCGAGTAAGGTGCAATCTCAGTTCAGAGTTTGCTATAAAAGATATTCTACACTGGTGACATTTAAACAAAAAAACACTGTACTCGTAGTCTATGATAACTTTGTCTTTGATTTTGTGCAAATTTTTCTTATGTTTATTATAATTACTTTGATTAGAGAATTTTTTTTCACATAGGAAGCAGAACACTCCCATTCTTTTTGAGTTTTAATAAAATAATAATTTACGCAAGGTCGCAAAGTTTCTTTCTCAGTTTCTCACATTCTCGCTACTATTATTATTAACTTGACTATCAACAATACAAAATACAACCAACAAACAACAACAGAAGAAAAGCGAAAACGAAAACCGAGCATGCGCAGATAGATGATCGCATTCCTGTGCCTAGCCGCTCCTGCTTTGTTGTTCACTGAGTTCGGCAGACATATTGCTATTTTTCGCGTAATTTAGCGCCATCTATTGGTATAGGAATTTCGCCAATATGATAGTTTTTGAGCTAAAGTCTGTTTTTTTTTTTTTTAAGATAAAAGTCAAAATGACAATACAATAGGTCTGTTTCTGCAGAAACAGGCCTAATATTATTGCCAACGACAGAAAAGTATTTATTCGGGTATCACAGAAGAGCGACTCTTAGGCCCAGTTTCACAGTTGGTGGTAACCTGCACTGGTTATCAAACTCATAGTTATTAATTAGGTAACGGCCCAATTAAGGACCGATTGAGAAGTGTTTTATCTCTGCAAGACCATCCGTGGACGCGTTTGCGAGTCGATTTGCTCTAATTTAATACTGGTTTATACGGTTGTTAGTAGCAATTTTTAGTGTGCCGATCAGAAAATAGATGGAGACCCTGTCTTCATTTTACTTGTATTAAACCCAGTTCCGGGATGGAACCAAAAATGGGTTGTGTTTTCTCTCTGCGGGACCTAAACCGTGCTGATGAGCTGTGATACAGCGAAACGCGTCCACGGATGGTCTTGCAGAGATAAAACACTTCTCAATCGGTCCTTAATTGGGCCGTTACCTAATTAATATCAATGTTTTTCGGTACCAACCGACTTTACTTCTGGTTGGCAACTAGAATAGCTATTCTCGCAATTGTGGCGAATGCCTTTGCGAGTCGATTTGCTCTAATTTAATACTGGTTTATACGGTTGTTAGTAGCAATTTTTAGTGTGCCGATCAGAAAATAGATGGAGACCCTGTCTTCATTTTACTTGTATTAAACTCATAGTTGCGGACGTTGCGGTTTGACCACATTGAATAATCTGAAGCTTGATTAATGGTTATTCTTGTAAAAAAAAGCATTATTTGTGTCGACAGACTGAAATCACAAATATTTTTTCAGTTTGCGTAGGAAAATAGAATTTAAGGTTTAAAGTCAGGCCTGTAGTTTATTACAGCAACGCGAGATGTCAATGCTGTCGCCCCTATAGTGTGCCCTAACTTGACTGTCAAAAAAAATAGAAATCTGCATTTGGTTAAATTATGTGATGGAAGGTTTTTTCTTTTTTTGGCGGAAATTCGAAATATTATTCTGTTTTACATAAACAGGGTTGTAGTTTCGACCAACGCAAATAATTTTGAACGTTCATCCGTCGGATTTTTTTCTAAACAGTGTAGCTACGGGAGTATTTCCAACTATTTTTGCAGTAGCGAGAAAACTACAAGTTCAAAAAATTTGAAAAAAATATATGTCGCGTAGAATTGCAATAGTAGTTCGTAATAAAAATAATGGGAAACTTCATCTATTCGTTTTGAAATAAATGGTGAAAAACTACTTTTTTTTCAGTTTTTGCGACTCAAAAATGGCGAATCAAATTTGCTTAAAAAAATTATGGATTAAAGTATATCGATAAACATAAAACATATATTTTTTTTGGAATTTTTGAACACAAGTTTCAGAAAATAGGGGTTGACTTTAAACCTTAAGAAAAGGCGATAAAAAAATTTAGATTTGATAGAAATATCGATTTAGGATTTTGGTTTTGCAGATGTGTTTGATTAATGTAAGTTAGTACAAATATTGAGTTATTTTTAATAATATAATATCGTCGGCATCATATGAAAATTGCCTAAGTCCAATTTTTTTCAAAATCAAGATGTTAGTGCAGTCTTGTGAGAAACTCAATAATCTATGATCCAACAAAATATTTGGGCGATAAATTGTTAGATGGAGCCACACAACTATGAAAAGAAATTTGCACAAGTCCGTCGTCGTCTTGAGACAGAGTGAAACTTGCGTAAGTCCAATCTCTTCAGTGCATTCTTGCGGGTGATTTGTCATGTAGTTTTTCTTCACAAAGGTTTTTTGCGCCTCCTGTAAAATTTAACTTTTTGGCAATTTTCATATGATGCCGACGATATGTACTTATCCAGTTTTCGTGGTAGGTAAGTACCTACCTAGAGTAGCATCCCCTTCTATTTTTCCTGCGTTGTATATAAACACACTAATTACTTTGCTTAGATGAAATTTCTACCATTAATGGCCTAATTTGTGTTAGTAAATAGAAAACTTCTGTTTTTTTTTTTAAATATACTTTTCTTGATGTTATAATTTTATTGAAAATACCTGTTGATACAGAATAATGCATAATAATTGAAATCATGTGGAACTTATAAGTAGTACCATTAGTACCTACCAAACTGTTAAACTGTTAACTCCTGAGCTAGAACAACAAAAATGAATTTTGACTTAGATACATGAATAATAAAAGGTATTTTTAATCTGCTCGAGTCAAAGTATTTAAAAAAATATTCAAAATAAAGAAACAAATGTTTAAGCTAAATGAAAAATGTCATAATTACACATTATACACATAATACAATATACAACAATCATTTATTTATAACTGTCAGAGCCTTAAACCCTTCCAAAAATAAACATATTGCAATTTCAAAAATTGCAAACAATTGCGTCGTGTCTCTATATTATTGCAGCATATATTAATTATTATTATTAGCTTATTTATTACTACATATTTAACACAAAATGAAAGCCCTGAATTTGTACGTAATGTGTCATCAATTTTGTGGAGAATATTCGTCGACTTCTTCTATGACCGAATTTTGCTCCAATCTCTGTCGTTGTAACACCAAATCGTGATATTTCTGTAATAGGAAAAATTGTCTTTTTGATATCAATCCAATCTAAATAAAAAAAAAATATATATGTATTTCTAGACATCTAAAACAAGAAGTGGATATACATTATGCGTTAAACAAAATCTATTCTCCTAGCATGTATCATGCAAAACATCACTAGGTTTACTCCACTCAAATGAACACTGCATGAAATAAAAAGAAAGCAAACAACTAATTAGATGATATTATAAAGTCTTTTATTTTATAACCAGGTCAAACATGGATAGTTTTGTTGAGCATGTCACTGATGGGGGTTCAAAATCGTATTTTATGTCATACCAATACATTATTATGTTTTTATACCTTAGGTACCATCTACATAATTCATTACTTTATGCACGTGCGGGCATAAAGTACACATTATGGCCCGCGCAGGCATAAAGACACAAAAATCTTAATTTTAGGAAAATTACTTAAAAGTGATACTTTTCTGAAATTTGAGACATTATGTTGGCAAATCTCTGAGGCGCTGTAAAGCCGTATATCTCCTTCCACATGAACTGATCAACATATTCTGGAAGCATGTTGGAGTTCATTACAGATAATCGTCTTAAATACTGTTTGAAAACACTCCAGTACCCTTCCACTTGATTAGTACATACACCCGTCACTGGGTCAACAAAATTCCTCGAATGATTGACTGTATGGTGTGTATATGGGGATACACCGTGTAGTGTATTTAAGCCTCCATAGCATCGGAAACAATCTGTCCAAATATTTGAGCCAGGAAGAACATGCTCGATGATCAGCTGCTCCAATGTTTCGGCTCGACGGTTAGGAACATAAATTATAAAGCCTCGTTTTTGTTGACAGTCATACATTCCAAGTACCCATTTCTCCCGTACAAGACGTCCTCTGTGGTATTTCCTTTTGGTTAGAACCGATTCGTCTATCTGAACAGTCCGTCCTGGTCCTCCTAAAATTAAATTATATTTGAGTCTCCAATTGCTCGCTCCCGCTAGCTCGCCAAATCTCAAAGAGAAGATCCTTGGAAACGTGAATCCACCAAAAACATGAAAAACGTTTTTAGAATATAACACCTTCAAATTTAAATTATTTCAAAGTTTTCGATTGCTCACTCCGCTCGCCAAATCTCAAAGAGAAGATCCTCGGATCTTTTTTAAATAACACCTCCCAAATAACCAACCAATAAACTAATCCAAACTACCCAAAACAACCCATAATAACCAATAGAAAAAAAAGAAAAGCATGCCTACTTACCCAGTAAAAAGTGGTCGTTCTCTCGTAAAATTTTCCAAGAGCAAATATCACGTATAAAACGATATTGTTGAGAAATAGTTATATTTGCAATGCCTGTCGACATGGAGACGCATCCAACGCGAACTTCGCACGCCCATTCCCATAATATAATGAGCCATTTTCGGATATCCATCTTCGACTTCTCAAAATAGGATCCTGTCAGTACACTGTAGAATTTCTTACATGTATTACAGCAAAATACAACGCCCAAAATATCCGAATTCCGCTTCTGAATCACACAATTTCGGCGGCAGTTTCTTGTTTTGCATCGCATTTGCTGTCGCAATAAACCGCAATTTTGCAAAGTTGTATAAAAAACAACATCATCCAACGAAACAATTCGAAATAAATCAAATAATTGTCTGAACTTCCATTATAATTATTGTTACGGCTCTGGAAACTGAAGTGCAACAGCCAAACTTAAACTGAAAACTGCTAAGTAATACTGGCCTCTCGGCTGGCCTTTATATATCCAGAATAAACGCGATACTCCTTTTCTCTGAAAAGCGCTGTAAAATCTAGAATATTCTAGAATCATCTGTCAAATTCTGTACACTCGGGCGCATCCGCCAGATTCTCGCGACTTTATTATTCGATAAATTATTGCATAGAATTATTAAACAAAATAGCACCATACCAAACTGCCAAACTCACATCACACTCACCATTTCACCATGAAACTCACAACATGCACCAATAGAATATTCGCGAAATTTTTGTACCAATAGATGACGCTAAATTATAGCGATAATACCGATAATAAAGGTCGCGATAATATCAATATGGCCGCCGAACCCAATGAACAACCTTGAACAAAGCTAGTTTTTTGAGGTTAGTTTTTGTTAAATTAAAATGGCCGTTTCCACCAATAAAGCTCTAAGCTGAGAATATCTAAGCGTCCCTTAAAACGTAAGCACCGCTTAATTAAATTTGCATTCCACCACCGCCTTTCTGATGAATCTTAACTAAGTGCTGTTTAGCTTTGGCAACATTGCTTTTGTTCGCCATCATAACCTCAAACTTGGCTTTGTATAGTGGTTTGATGGAATTTTGAAGTCCAGAAAATAAATTGTTTGAAATTATTGACGATAGATTCGTGGTTTAAATAAATAGAAATAAAAAGGTCACTTTTAATTTGTGATTTACAATACCTAGCGACAACACGTCCGTTCAACAATGAATGAAAATGGAAAAATAAGAGCTGGAAATTACTCGGGAAATTATAGGTACTACCCACGAAAAAGATCTTCTGGTAAACCTTTCGGCAAAGTACAAACATATAATAAAAAACAAGAAAAGGGGTGCAGTATCGGTTTCAGAAAAAACAAAAATTTGGCGAAAATTAGCCAATGAGTTTAACACAATCACTCCAAATTCACCTATAGGAAATTCTAAGGACGCTTCAATTTGTTCTAGAAGTTGCAACACAGTGGGTTTTGTCAATCTGAATCTGAATCTTCAAAAAACGTTAGATTGTCCATCTCCTCAAAATGATTATTTCTATCATAAATTTTTCTAGGTACCATATCTTCAAACAAATCCAATACTTCCAAATCATCTTAGGTATATCCATTTTTCAGACAACAATTTTCTTAAACACAACATAATGCAAACTTCACCAGAAATTGGAAAATTGAGAAAATTTTATCTCAATTCAATTTTTGCCACTTTCTGTGAAGCATCAACTTTAACGTTTGCTTATGTCAACAAAGGCATGATGCAAATTGCTTGCGCATATCATTGCCACTCTGTTAAGGGAAGAATAAGCCTAGAAATTCCTGGGCTTAGTTAAGTTTATCTTAATGACACTAGGTTAGACTGGTGGAAAAGAAATTATAATATAAGCGGCACTTAACGTTAAGTAAACTTAAATCTGCGTTGGTGGAAACGGCCATGTGTTTTGTGCCTTGTGGCGTGGCGTTTTCGTAATTTATATAAAAGAAACTATGCATGAAAAGAATAATATTCTGTAAAAATAATTATATTAATTAATTAAAAATATCCAAAAACAATGCCTGGAGCCAAATGCAAATTTGCTTTAATCGGACAAAACAATGGCCTATTGATTAACAGAGGTATGTTTTTTGTTTTTGTTTTTCAGAAAAACTTTTCAAATAATCAGCTCCATCCGCACTTTTTTGAATTGTATTATGAATCAATTGATTATATTCACTAGTGTCGTGCTTTATAATCGTCTTATTACGACATACCTATTATTAACCATAGCCCTTTGAACACTTTAATAATAATTGCTCTTGAACTCACTGTTATTGGAAATTAAAAAAAAAACACTATTAATTATTCAAGCAAATAGTGACGATTAAATAAAAAATAAAAATTATCAATTGTGATTTGAACGTTTGGTCCACATTGGTGAGGTTTAAATTATTAAATTATTATAAAAAAAAAAAATAGAGATCGAGGACTTAGGGCGCAAATCGATCAGGTTATACAATGAGTATTTATGTGGAGCGTGCATAAGCAAGCGCGACTTTCATTGCAAAAACATGGTACTGTTTGTGCATGAATTTACTTACTATTGTGTAACATATTTGATGAGTCATAAGTCATATGTATTTTGTATGTTTCAAGATTCAGTTGCTGAAAGTGGGGCACATTTCAATTTACAGATTTTCAATGTATTGTGACAATGAAGGTGAATATCTAGCTACTGAAATGAGAGATTTTTGGTATGCAAAAAGATAAGTCATCATTTGACAATTCCATGAACCCCACAAATTAAATGATGCAGCTATATAGAAAAGAAAAAGTTGGAGGCAGTTTTAACTGCAACATTCTCACTTAATTTGACCCCTACTAAAACTTTAAAAGAATTTGAAACACCATACGAAATGTGGCGTAGTAAAAAGCCTCAAGTAAAATATTCATAAGTGTTTGGTTCCATAATACCGCTTATAGGTACATAAAAACCAGGAAAACAAAATTTAATATCAAATCCTGGAAAGCTGTACTGGTTGGTTATGAACCAAATGAATATGAAGTGTGGGATGTGGTTAGTCATAAGTTTGTTGTAGTCAAGGATATTATTGTAGATATGACAAGTTTGTTTTTGTCCTCCAAGCCTTTTAATCTGCATAAAGCTGATTCCTCTGACTATTTGTCAAGATCAGTAGTTAATAATAAGCTTGAAAAAGTGAATATAGAACACTTTAATTGTAAAAGCTGATTTCTCTGACTGTTTGTCAAGATCAGTAGTTACTAATAAGCTTGAAAAGTAAATGTTTAACTTTTCTGGACATAGAGCCAATTTTTCTGACTCTTTGTCAATATCAGTGGTTAGTTAATCATAAGTTTGAAAAAGTGAATGCATAACACTTTGGTGATGAAACTGATTCCTTTGACAGTTTGCCAAGATTGCTGGTTAATAAATCTGATAAAGCAAAATCAGATGACCAACCAATCCAAGAAAGTAGCTAACTGTTAACCCACAAACTTATAAAACTATATAATGAATGATTATAATAAATCTGTGGTTGAAACCGATCTGCCAAATGATATTCATTCAGCTTCCACTATAATCACGATTCCCAAAGTAGTTAAATTAAAATCCTCCAGTGAATTGCATCCAATAAATTTGTTTTGCAATATTGACAAAATTTTGGAGAAAATGGTGTATATGCAACTTGTTGAGTTTATAGGTAGATAGAAATAAACTATTCAGTGATTTTCAATCAGGGTTTCGAGTA